ATGTTTGACAAAAAATGTTTGAATTCAGTAGATCGTGATTCTAGTCGCTTATGGTACATTTTTTATCGTCATTTGCTTGTTACATAAATTCTTGTCTCTAACAGCTTTTTGATGAACAGGTCAGTTATTTTAAAGAGAGAGAGATGTGTTCTTCCAGACTATGATCTATACGTATTCCAAATTTCATCGAGATCCTTTCAACCGCTGTGGAGATATCTTCAAACGAACATCCATCCATCCATCCATCTAAACATTCGCATTTATAATTTTAGCCGTTTAGTTGCTGCAACCATTAGTATATTTTTTACAATGTTTAAGATTTTTATTTGGAACATTGTCTGTCCTGAGAATATCCCAACTTCCGACCGTGTTACGTCCCCGGTGGGATGTGACGTACCAGGATTCGGATGCACTTGTCGGCTTCTGTGCGGAAGCGGTTCGTTGTGGCGGCCATTTTGCATCCGTGACCGTGAGGAGGCGCGTGCGCGCGCGCATCAATTGGAACCAACTACCGCGCCCTTGTTCGAATTTAGAACGCTCCCGCGCAGTTTGTCGCCTTTCCGTGTGACATTGTCGGTGGCTTTGATTTAAAACGCCATTTCAACTGCAATAAATACGTAATTTTATGGTGCTTCCTGAGTACTGGAAATTGAAAATTATAAGCTTTCAGGTAACCATACATGTACCGATGTAATCGAGAAGAAAAAGTGCTTGTTCGTTTGAATGTGCGAAAATTATGTTTGCTTTTGAAATCTCAATATGATGTTATATTGCTACGAACATAAGAAGGTCAGCAAATAGGAATAACATTGAATCTATTTACGCTTAAATTATACGTAAAATATAAAACCGTGGAACACGATTAGTATGATTTTATCTAGTTTCAGCCATACACGTAGTCATATTTAAATTTTCTTTGAAAGCGAAAGATCAAAAAAAACAATCTCAAAAAAAAAACAAAATGGCGTTCATTGTGATGTTTCTGTTTCGCGCGCTTTATACGGACGTTAAGATTAAAAGTAAACGGAAGAAATAGTTATAAAGTTTATTTTGTGGATAATCTGTTAAAAGTTTTAACTTCATTTAAGAATGTAAGGAAGTAAAAATATTATAAAAAGGCAACTTAATCTTTTCAATAAATAATTGCGAAATGCCAGCTTAATTGCTTAATATTTTCTATTATGTTTTACATCTTTGCCAAATTTCAGCAAGATCCGTTTGGCCGTTCCGGAGTTAGCTTCAGACAAACATCCATCCATCTAAACCAGTCTTTCCCAAAGTGGGCGATGCAGGTCTTAAGTTGCGGGTTATAGTAAAAGTTTTGTTTAGAATTCTCCGTTAATATACATATATAGGTCACAATAATTCATTAATTTAATTTGAAGTTATAGTGGTTTTTAAATATGTGAAAATATGGGGGCGCTTAAAATATTTATTCTCAAAGTGAGCAGTAGACAAAATAAGTTTGGGAACCACTGATCTAAACATTCAAATTTATAATATTAGTAAAACTAGAAATTAACATCAAATAACCTTTAATTAACGAACCCTTTGTATAAACGTTTAACATTGACATTTAAAACATTAAGTAATGTCACATTCTTTTCGATGTCAAGTTTAATCACACTCAGGTCAATATTTGTGTCAAGTTCACAGTAATGTAAGACCCCACAGCTTTGTAACTTTAAATGGTGTCCCATTTATTTGATTTATTTGATTGGTGGGTCTAAATAATTTATTAACATAGTTTGGTACCCATTTTAAAGTTAAACTTCGTAATGACTTTGGTTAAAAGGAAGAGAAATATTCGTAAAAGTAATAATATAAAGGCCTTATCCACCTCAAAGTCCGGCAACGCATCTGCGGTTCCTCTGGTATTGCTGATGTCCATGGGCGTCGTTGAACACTTTGGTGTTCCCGCTGCTCGTTTGCCCCCTTCTGTTATAAAAAAAAAATAACAATATCTAAGTGAACAAAAATTCAAGACGTAAAAATAGATAGTTCTTAAAATCGTATAACGTAGGTTTCTGAGATCAAATTTCCCGTAACAAAACTAGTTATCTCCGTTTTGTCAAAGATAAAATGACAAGGATAACGATATGTTTTATACAGAGGTTTTGAACTCAGTAACCAATGGATTGTATTGTTTTTTAAATGCGTAAGTTTGGATGGATGTTTGTTTGAAGGTATCTCCGGAAAGGCTGTACGGATATTGCTGAAATTTTCAGTCGGACGGAGTCGCAGGCGACAGCTAGTACTTTAATATAGTTTGTAAGTTAATAATAATATAAGTTTTCTACGTAAATACTTCATCGTAAAATTACATACGTTTCCATACAAACTTGAATGTCATTGAACAATAAAATTGGCCCCTAATGTGATTGTAACGTATTGCATAGCCATTCGTCAACATCTAGATATAGACTAGAATCTAGGTCACAACCATTGTCGTTCCTGACGAACTGTTTTGCATATTTAATTGGCTAACGACTTAATTTGACCTAAATACAGGGTGTTATAGTCTTGATTAGAGTAACTTCTCTCAAATAACACTCCAAAGTATTTCGACGCTTTAATTGTATACGAAAATTCTATAAAACAAAACAAAATCGTTCAAAAACATGGTTTACCGTGAGTTTCCGAGACTAAAATCCCCGTTTAAAATATATTATCATCTCTGTTTTTGTCAATCATAATGATAAGGATGACGATATGTTTTATAAAGAGATTTTGGTATCAGAAACTCACTGTTATTCTTGTTTATGGCTGAAACCGAAATAAAAAATTATAGGAAATATTTAAACAAACATTAATCACTGATTATTACACTGACTTTATTATGTTATATGTTTTATTAGTGATCGCCCGCGACTCCATCCGTGCGGAATTAAAAAAAAAACAATTAGTACCCTCTGTGTTCTTCCAGGCTATGTTCTATACGTATGCTAAATTTCATAGTGGTCCGTATAGCCTTTCTGGAGATACCTCCAAATAAACATCCATACATCTAAACATTCGCATTTATAATATTAGTAAGATGTGATTTTATTAACTCTACAGTATATTGATTTTTAATAGAAAAATAAAGTTATCTACAATTTACTATATTAAAGTTAACTGCATTTTTCTCACGACATGACACAATGGTAAAAACAATGGTAGTGCATTGTGTAAAGTGTTACGAATGCATTCCTTGTTACCACTAATGTTGCAGAACAGTGGTGGACTGTGGATTGTGGTGGTCCACTATTAAGTAACGGTGACCACTTCGACCCACCTTCGACGCTTAATACACGCTAAATGCTCTGTTAACAACATGACATGAACTGATATGTTTTAGTGCGAAACAAATTACAGAATGCATTTCGTTATTTCTTTTTTTTTGATGGCACGCTCGACCGCTCCCTCAGGAAACTCGGCTAGGGCCGTTACTTCGTTATTATTACCGGATTGGAACCTTTTTCATTTCTGTGAGCTCCTTATTTTTCGCGAATTGCGCGCTTTCGTTACAAAGTCAAGTGTCAGAATGATTAGTGAAGGGACATAAACGTCGACATTTTAGGAAGGCTAGTGTTGCGCCAGTACACCGGCACAGTGTCGGATTTTCTTCCTAACAATATAGACATATAATTCTTTTTATCATCATTTCTTACTAATATCATAAATGTGAATTTTTAGATGGATGGATGGATGTTTGTTTGAAAGTATATGCAGAACAGCTTAATAGATTGCGATGAAAATAGTCTGGAAGAACACATAGGCTTTTAATTATGTTATTTTAAGTTCCGCGCGGATGAAGTCGCGTGCGACAGCTAGTTCTCTATATTTCTTAGCTAACGGCTATAAGCAAGAACATGCGGTGCGTTAATACCAGACAGTGTGTCGTCACCTTAAGTTTATAATGTAAACTGTGAACAGATTAAGGCATCACACGACCACTCATCGCTACGAGATGTTACGCAGCGTTTTATGTTTATCGGAAGTTTATACGGAATAAATATGGTTTTAATGTCGCGCTTTGATATTTTAAAAGCGGTTTATCTAAAGGTTTTGTTTTTAAACTTAAAAAGAAAGGAATGGATTAGGAAACCTTACAACCAGCCTATTAGTTACCTATTCCACTTGACAGACAAATAACTAGTGTGGTAGAGAATATCTTATATATAGAAGAAAGTCGTGTTAGTTACGCTATTTATAACTCAAGAACGGCTTTACCGATATGTTTGAAAATTGGCGAGGAGGTAGTTTAGAGACAGGAGACGGACATAGGATACTATTTGTATTTCGAATTTATGCCTTGAAAAGCTGCTTTTTATTTAACTTACTAATATTATAAATGCGAATGTTTAGATGGATGTGATGTGGATCCATCCGATCGGTGTTTGAAGCTATCTCTAGAACGGCGAGTTATCTTTCTGGTTAAAATCTAATCTTAAAAAGTTATGTGACAGTCTTCATGCATAAATTATTTACCAGATCACACTTCAAAGTTCAACGTAACTACAACTTAACTTCTCCATCATCACTTAATGCAAACAAATATGTCTTTACTGGGTAGAAGTCGAACGATCTTGTTTGTCAACAACCGAATCTTAAAGCAACGTTTAGCAATGTTTGGCAAACATTGGACAAATGGTCCATTTTTTTTTAATATTAGCAGATTTTTTTGTAAATTTACTAATATTTCTTTTACCATTCCAACTAAGCTCTATGCTTGTGCTAGGATATGGTTTACGACAATAGTCGAATGGCGGGATTCGGACACCCGACCTCGTGATCGGAAATCCGTACCCTTAACCATTAGGCTATTGACGCCATTGAAGTGACAAATGAGACAATCTTGCAAAGGATCATTGTCATCTGATTATTACCATAATATTTTGCAACCTTTGAATGTAATTATTGTCATGATATAATCGTCCCTTACATCATGTGACGACAAATATTGATTTAGAAATGAAGTCTTTAAATTAAATTAATTTCGCAATCTTTGTTCACAGACTACCTCAAATAACCAAAGAGCCATGCATCGAATATCTCCCGACAATCCAGTGAGACGACGTCTCTTTCCAAACGACGATATAACAGATGAAGCAAAAAACGACAACTTCGCAAACATGCTACAAGAATCAGCCGCTAGAGAGAAACTGGAAAAAATGCACAAATGGAACTTTGATTTTGAAAATGAAATGCCTCTACAAGGCACTTATGAATGGTACCCGTGTACCGGTTCACGTGATTGGATAGGAATTGATGCGACCAAATTTGAAACCGATGACGTCATCAAGGCAACCGAAGATACCTTCTTGCAGATGAAGTTCGAAAACGAATTAACACCGAAGAGCGACAAGGACGACAATATTCCACTGCTAAGGAAGAGGAGGATGGAAGATCTGGAGAAATTGTTAGGAGACAGACGGGCTAAGCGCAAAATTAGCTTCGATTAGACCTTAAATGGGAACAAAAAAATCGTAAAACAATTTATTAATTAACAAAAAAAAACTGTCTCCTTATTAGAATTCATAGCATTTTATATACTAGTGTCCAGGTACACTATAATTCTAGTAAAAAGTACTAAAATAAACATAAAAAAATCAATCGATTTGAAAAGGGAATAAAATGAAACAGGAATAAAAATTAATTTCTTATCATGACTATTAAAGTGCCATGATTTAATTAAATCAATGTAAAAAATATCTAATTTAAGCTTATTTTATTTCT